GTGCATTAGAGGTTCAACAAAGTAAATCTGAAGGAGGCAGAGGAAAAATTTCGAGTAATGAAAAATCGAACTTTTAGATTGTTATTTAAGTAACATATTGCTATTTAAGTAACATAAACCCTACAACAAGTTGTAGGGTTTATGTTACTTAGCAGAGTTATCTTATTACTTTCCTCTTTTACGATTTTTAACTCCTACCAGTATGAAAATTAGTTAAAATATATAAATGCAAACTTTTTGAGTTTGAAAACGCTTTTAGCTGCTAGAACGGACCAGTTACTAGCTACACTTACCTGCTACTGATTTGATTTATCAGCTTTAGCTTCGCTAGCCGCGTCCGCTTCCTTAATATTCAGGATCGAGCTAAAGCTCATTTAGACGCGTGTCACTTACTTTAATTTCATTGACACAGTTATTCTATGTTTCCCGCAAGAGCGGCTATTTGGTTTCTGTTATTGTATAATTTGCGTATTCATTAGGCTGATGCGCTAATAAAGAGGTTTATTTTAAACTTTCATCTGAGTTGCTATTTACTGTAGAAAGTAGACGGGACTGTAAGTGGTCTGTCTGCATTTACTATTCTGAGATTTCACATTTAAAGTTGCGTAGAACCGTACAAATACAACTGTAAAATTTCAAATTTCACATTTCGATTCTTAAGCCAAAATTCTAAAATATCTCAAGTTAGTTAATCATATTTATCTTGGAATAACAACTAATAATATCGAAATGAAGAAGACACATTAATCTAAGAAAGAATTTTCAGCAATAGTCTACATTTATAAAAGCTGAGAACCAAGAATAACAATATCAGCATGTACGTATCAAGAATAATAATATCAGAATAAAATACTAGTTGTAAAAAAGCAACGACAAACGTATAAATTTATAACGATTAGCTATTATACTAGTTAAAAAGTTACAGATATCCCATTAGCATAAAATTTAGATTTTCAATTGATAGTGAATAAAAAAGTTACATACAATAAGAAAAATTAAAATAGAAATTTAAAAAATGCATTCTTTGAAGGAAAATGGAGTAAGAAAGAAGGACTGAAATCAGAACAACTGATACAGATATAGATATGAAACGCATATAAATATGAAAACATTCTTACTTAAATTACAGTTTTAAAGTTCTGCATCATCTTTCAATTTAATCTTAAGTCTTTATAAGATTCTATAGATAGACAACAGCTAGTTGCTCTAGTCAACTTGATCAATAAAATCATAATAATATGTTTATTTTATTGTAACTGTAAGAACGTACATATCGGTTTTGAGCCATAATCAGAATAGCTTCAGAACTTAAAAAATAAACATATTTAATTAAGTTTTAAATAAAAATCAATAATTTGATTACTTAAAAAGGAAAAAAATACAGCAATTTTCATGATAGTAATTTAAAAATATTCTTAAATAAGACTGCTTTAATAACATAATTAAAAAATGGTTTTTAAGTATAAACTGATGGAATTCTGCATTTACCTATAACGTATCACAAAATACCCTGTTTAAGACGCAATACTCGATTAGATTCATTATTTAAAACAAGCAAAAAAAAAAAAAAAAAAAAAAAAAAAAAAAAAAACGAAGCTTCCGTGTAAGTAGAGAAAGGAATAACTACTAGTATGAGAATTAATTATTTTGACATCTAAATTACTATAAAAATAATGACTTATAAAAATTCTTCTCTCTTTTAAACGTTTTGCTGCAGAATTACAATTTTTAACTATTCCTCTTACAGAAGTAATACCTATTCTGAAAGCATCACATATGTGATTGAATTATGACTGCGTGTTCTTTAACTTTACAGAAACAATGCTTTACAAAATGGTATACTTAGAACAAAAATCATGCAAAACTTTAACAGGAGATTTAAAAAAGAATAAAGCATATAAAACGTAGGCAAAACTTTCATGCATTTTAACAGCATCTAAGGATATATTTTGTTCTTGAAGTTCATAAGTTGGCCAAGAATATTAAAGAAAAATCTATCGGTGTTATGTAAAGCAGAGACGCATTTTGTATGTAAGACAACACGTTTAAGAAGTATTTTGAAGCAGAGAGCCTCATTAAATGTTTTTTAAATAATCTTTGTAAATAATTTTGCAGCTAGAACAACTTTGCAACTAATACAAGATAATAAAGTCAAAATTTTATAATGCGTTTTTAATATATTTTTCGATTATTTAAATTAAAAAAATAAAATACAGCGCAACTGAACAAGAATATTACAGACGCTCTTGGGAAGCAACACGTTTACCAGTTTTCATATTTGCATGTATGAAGTCAGTTTGTGCCTCGTTTTATCAGTGTAATGTGCATTATCAGACTAGTCATGTTCAGTAATAATAACAATGCTAATTTTTCCATGGGTTGCAGGAAAATATAGTATTCCCTGCAAGCGACCCATGAATTTCCTGTTAGACACCATATACAGAATGAATGCACAGTTTTTCAAGCAGAACTTCTGTGTATTTTTATCTTGCCGTCAAATGGTTCAAGAATAATGGGACAGCATCCTCAAGGTACACAGCACACACAAACATACACACACACAAAAAGAAAAAGAAAAAAGAAAAAAAAAAAAAAAAAAAAAAAGAAAAAAAAAAAAAAAAAAAAGGGACACTTCTATATCTCCCGTTTTACTGGGCCGATTGACAAAATTCAAATTGCGTTTTTCATGTTTCGAAAGCGCGACATAGCATATATATTAGATATATATATAGCACTGCTCTAACATAGGCATTTTGACAAAAATCGAACTTTTTCTGAAATAACATAATTTTTTTTCCATATTTCGATTCTCAACTCAAATTATTCCCAGATATTAAATTTTGTAAAATTTGGCGCGAAATTTACGGAGAAACTCAAAACTTTATCTTGGCTAAATGTTTTTCAGTTTGGCCAAGAATAATTCACTTGGCGAACTTCTTAATATATGGCAACCAATTTTCCTTTCCCTTCCATTATGGTGCAGCGGAAAAAAAGGTACCTCGTTTCCTATCTTTTTACATTGTGCATCAACGGAAAAAAAGTCACATCGTTCTAACTTTCAAATAATTTTAGCAAAGTGTTTAACACACATCTGATGTTTTATCTCTTTCAACAAATATGCCAAATTTCAAAACGCGCCAATGTATAAATTTACGTATATCTTCGGAAATTTTGAATAAAAACTTTAAGTTTTTACAGGTATGCTGAGAAATATGTCTACTTTAAGATGATGGTAAAACGTTTACAGCTTATAATTCCAATTGGTTTAGAAAAAATTGTAAAAATTATTTAAAAATACAAATTTTAAAAATAAATGATAAAAAACGGGTGAATTTAATTTGGAATGAACCTGAATTTCGAAATGTGAAAGGAAGAATCAAATAAGCTTAATAAAAAAAGAGAATTAGTTAATCAATATATACCAAAATAAATTAACACTGAGGAGCTAAAAGTTTTAACGATATTTTTTTAAAAACTACTTGTGCGATTTCTACAAAACTTGGTTGTTTGGCGTAATTTGAGTCCTAGAATTGAAATATTTAAAAAAATTGGTATGTTATTTCAGAAAAAGTCCGATTTTGTGTCAAAACACCGATATTAGAACACTGATATATATAAATCTAATACATACCCTAAATCGCACTTTCGAGGCATGAAAAACACAAGTTGAATTTCGTCAATTGGCCCAGTAGAACCGGAGATATAGAACTGTCGCATTTTTTTTTAGCACAGTGTACCTTACTTGTTCCGATTCTCTTTCTTTGCTTCACCTTTTGAACAGTATTACCAGCTGCGACAAATTACTTATCGAAACCCTATTAACTGTCAATTCGCTTAGAAATACATACAAGAACTGATATCCGCTTTGCTCATGTGTGTGCTCACCATGGTTTCTATGGAAATGAAAGAGCTGATTTCTTAGCTAAAGATGCCTTAAATTTACCCATCGATATCAACATTAGTATTCCAAAGAGCTATTGGAAGTCCTTTCATTATAAGAAACTTTTAGCGAAGTTGAATGAGGAATATATTTCATCTTGTAATGCTGAGGTCACCAAAAAGTTCTTTCCTTCTGTTTACCATAGACTGCATTACGAGTCTTTCCTCTCTATTAATTTTAAAGTTTCCGGTTTTTATCTGGTTACGGTAAATTTGCAAGTTACCTGTTTCGTTTTAATCTAAGATCAAGTGGTGAATGTGCAGAGACATTAGGTATTTTTTTGGCAGCAGGAAGCAGGCAAGATGAAAAATGAGCAACGCCTTCACCGGGAATCGAACCACGGACCTCTGGAATACGCGCCCAGTGTACAGACCACTACACTCCAAAGGCCCGCTAAGAAGTCGGGAGAAAATACCTTATAAATGTTCCAAAATAGTACCTCAGGATCTGGAACATTTGATTTTCTCATGCCCTACATTTGATTGCCCTAGATTATGCTTCCACAACGATTTAAAAATGTTCGGTGTGACTTGGCGAGTGAACTAATCTGTTTTCTTGAAGTCCATACTGCTGTTCTCTTCTTTTGTTCGTTTTACTTATGCATGCAACTTTTAATGTTTTAGTTAGTGGAAGGGGAGTCTGTATGTTTTCAAATAATAAAAAAAAACCTGTTAGTCACTACTTTTGTACAATATGAACAAAAATGAAAGAAACAATTTTTGATACCTAGTAATTTCTAAAAGGTGAAGAAAATATAGTTCAGTTGAGTGAAAGATTTTCTTAACCTTTTAAACTGCCGCTATTTCAGTATCACCGTTTCTAAGTGTATTAAAAGTATTTAGAAGACTCGCTACATCCAACGTATGAACTCCACGAACAAAAATTACAATTATACAATAAGAAAGTAAACGAAACAAAACAATAAAATGAAGTGTATTTTATAGTAAAATCAAGAAGAAACTGAAGTTACGCTACAAACAGTAAACAAACCTTTATTCACAAAACTCACAGTAAAGTGGCAAATATATGTCAGAAAATAAAAAAAAAAAATGAAACTAACCTCTTTCCGGGATTCATAATCAAGTGGTCCCGCAACATATATAGCCCCTGTTTCGTTTTTTACGGCAAAAGCACCACCTATATTACCTTGAGTGATTTCATACCGGATACGTGACGCTGGAAAGAGCAAAAAATTCTCACTTATATATGTGAACATCAAATTAATTATATACTTTTCATTGGGGAATATCATAGAAAAGGTATAGTAATACACCAAGCAATATCAATATAGCTTCAAAGCAAGTAGTATTCTTTAATCTGCCTTGCAGAAAAGTTACTATGAATTCAAGAAGCATCCAACTAGCAATATATCGCATTAATTGAGTTTTAATACGCATTTGTTTCATATAAGAGATCATATCGTATGCATAGGCATACGCTATTTTGGGTGGGATCTTATGTAATACTTAAAAAAGAGTTTTTTTACCAGCTCCTGTTAGAACGTATTTTTAACTTCACGAATTAGATGTATTATTAAAAAAATACGTATGCTTTAAATTATAGGACGTTTATTGCTCTTAAGTTTCTCAGCGAATTAATAGTTTCAGATTAATTAAAATCCGACTTAATCAATAAATAAGTGACTAAATTTGAAACACAAAGAATTTATGTTTCACCAAACGGCAGTATTCTGAGAACTAGTTGTTTGCAAGATTACATGAAAATAAATTAAAAGATCTTGTATTTCTTGCACTGACAACATTTATCTAATTACCTGGAGATAAATGCTATGTAAAGTAATGTAATGACATTTTGGGCAGCCAAACATTTGGAAAAAACTCCATCAAAGAGGTTTCAAATTTTATCGTCAACGTCACAAGCTCTAGCGTTGGGATTCTCAGCCAGTGGTACGCGTACCACTGGGGTACCACGCAAGAGAAAAATAGGTGGTACGCAAAGCGAAACAAAGTAATTTTAACTTCGAACTCTAACTGAAGATTTCAAAAATAATACGCTTGTTAACTTTTGACTGAACCGAAAAAAAAAAAAAATTAAAGGCATTTCAAATAAAACTATTAAATTTTTGTTGTCTTTTTGCACAAACTATTTATGTGATATTTTCTTCCATGTTATTTTCGAAAAATAAATGCCAAACAAAATTAAAAGTGGATCCTAATTTACGGTTAAAACTAAGTTAAATAAGACCAAACAAAAAGAAACTGATCTAAACAGGCCCAAAGTTCACACTAAAGTTTAGAATTAAAAGTGTTATAACTTATATTTTGCTAATGAAAATGGCAACCAATTTTTAACCTAATATATTTTTATGTGTGCATATTTTATACAAATATCCAACAGCTTGTGCAAATGGCAAAATATATAATTTTTAATATTTCTTGTGAGAAATTAAAAAATAATCATTGTAAAATGTAGTGGTGGTACTAAAGTTTTTCAGTTTTTGTTCAGATGGTACGCGTTAGTCAAAAGGTTCAGAACCGCTGCTCTAGAGGCATAGATCCCTAGATTAGGAACTTAGTAATCCATACTTGACTTATGTACTTACGTACTTACGTACTGGACTAGTACGCAGATCTCTTGATTAGGGACTTTATATATGTGAAATGTATACGATCAAATGATAAAATTAGCTATGTAATGAAAAAGTGAATATGATCCTAGAATGTAAAGAATAAGATAATGTAAACCAAGGTAAACAATGGTTAAGAGGTGTAACATCAAAATTGATAATGTCAAGTGCAAAATTTTTATTGAATGGAATCACATCTGTAGAGGTATTTTAGGCAGAGTAACTATACATGAGTACTTCAGAGAATAATACAAATTTAGGAATGTAAAGTATGTGTATCATGAAATGTGAAAGTGCAGTGCTTTTTCAAGTAACGTGAAATGTTGGTGTGAAATGTGCGTATAGCGCAAACGAAAGCTCAACTGTGTCCAGCAGAAAGTGATTTCATTTGTTCAGTGATGGGACAACTTTTTTCTTCGGCCGGAGGGAATGTTGAGAATGGAAATTTCTCTCAGCACGCAGTTCATCAGCATGGACACTATCGTAACATTAATTGGAATCGCAGAACTACACGTGCATATAAACACCCGCTAAACAGGTTTTTTTACCTGTCTCTGCTGACTACGGCTCGCACGAATATGCGGGGCTGCGTCCCTTGCATATCTCACACGCATGGAATGATGTCTTTTTTGATGGAAAAGAAGCATGAGAATTGCACAAATTATCCAAAAAGATTGTGTTGAAAATTAATCCAGCTATGAAACAATTATGCTAAAATTTAACCCGTCTGGAAATAACTTGTTAATGTGTGTTTCGCATCAACAAATTGCTGCTATTGTCATCGGCTCGTCGCCTCGTGGTCTTTACCTTGTGCTGACCAGAAGAATTGAGTTGTACTATGCATGGTCTAATTAACTGCACTAGGCAAACAAATTTAAAAAAAAGTGTTTTAAATCTTCTTATCATACTGATGAATCAAAGTAAAGGCATGCAATTTTGTAATTGAATCTGATACAAATGTAGCTTGTAATAATGCCATGAAAGACTTATTAATCCATACTTGATTTACGTACTGTATGTCCAGTACTTACGTGCTGGACTAGTACACAGATCCCTAGATTAGGGAGTTAATAATAAATACATGTCTTATGTACTTTAGGTTATACACTTTTTTCTATATGAAGCAAAATGCCTCTTATTGCTATCTACACTTAGTGAAATGGATCAACCCTGAAACCACATGTTATAAAATACATCATCCTATTTATTCCACCAAGAGTTCTTTCAAATTACGTGTCAGCAGTCAACGAAATGGGAAAAGATTCAATTCACTATGCAGTGTTTTGGCTGAAAATGGAACCGTTCCAAGCACGACTGGGTAGCCGATAAAATATTATGATAGAGAGCATATCGACCGCGAAGAAAGGTAAAACTGCGGGGATCAGAATAATAACAAAATAAAAGAAATCAAAATAAAAGACTAACTCGAGACAAAAGAAATTTCCGAAATCAATTCTGCACTTAAGAGCTCGGAATTCTTGATACTGTTTGACATTCCCTCTCAGAGGTATATGCGTTGTGTTTTAAAGTTGGCCTCATGAAGGTCTCGGAAAAGAAATCGAAGCAGTATTTGCTTTCACGTTTCAATATTTCAAATGGAATCGTGAAAGTTTATACTAGCAATTTTTTATTTAATAGAAAGAATGTGAAATGGTCCAGAACGAAAGAACGAAACTTATTCTCGTCTACAGAAATTTAAAGAATATATGCACTTTTTCCCCCTTGAATTTTTCATAAGGCTTAAAATTTGCAGGGATTTCAAGAGATACCAATGCAAGAGCAAGCTAAAAATTTTCACATTTAAAAAATAATTTATATTTCATGTAATTTCTGCTGTTTTGAGAGGAATTTCACCAGCAAATTTATTCTCATCATTATACAGAGGATTCGGAAATGTGAATACACACTTTTAACACTGATCCTAAGCATCGTGTTATTGTTGGTGGAATACACAATTTTTCAACGTTTCCCAGTTTGAAATATAAAATTTTTCCACACGATATAAGACATTTTATTAAAACAACACCAATTCTGTAAGAAAGCGTTTACGAAAATATAAAGTCTTATTTTTTGTGGAGGAATGAATAATTTAATTAGTAAACTGTCTGTTACATTTTAATAAGCTTGTACGGTATATTTTAATTTTATAATAATTATTTTAATTTTAAAGTGCTTTTCTATCAATTCTTGTTTCCACTTACAACTCTCTACCAGAAACAGGTTTTAGAATCGCGTTGAATGCAAATGAGTTAGGAGCAGTATTTAAGGAAGGTTCAATTTACTTCGTAAGAGAGAGCTAGGAATTCTGAGTAGCGTTTGTTTGCCTTCAGGCTAAGTCTCTCTTGAAGATTAGCTCGGTCGTATATTACGTGTCTTTTGATATTCGCCAGCTAGTTTAAATTAAGGGCTAAGTACGGTAGGTAACTGTTAGCTTCGGCTAAGTCTCTCTTCTTTAATTATAGTTTAGTTCTTATTTCTTATTTTGAGTTCAAGCCCGAGTGGAGGCTTTGTTGTAAGCCTGAGAAAGGTGCCAACTGTTCATCTTATTTTGAGTGAAATAAAGGGTAGTTAACCCTTCTTGAGTCCACGACTTTAGGTATTTGAACTCAGCGATAAGTCGCTTAACTGTTCTCTAGTTTCCTCTACATTTACTTTAGACAAAGAGAGGAACACCACAAGTTAAATATAAAAAATTCTGTACTTTTATGCGCAAGTTTCGTGAAGATATTCAGAATTTACTGACTTAGATCACTTTTCTATTCCAGCTCTCCAGGGAAATGTTTCAGCCAAGCATACAGAACAATTACAAAACAAGAGCTGTTCATTTTTGGAATTAATTGTTATGCATTGGATATAATGCTCTTGTTATTAAACTTGTAGCTAATCTCATAAATATATTACATATGAACATGATTAATTATCAATCTCTGAGGATTTTATACGTATTTCTTTTCAGCATTGTGGTGTAGCGGCCAAAACCGCTACACAAAGCACGGGCTGTAATACAGGGTTGAAATGAACTTCAAACTCAAGTTTTAACATGAATTTTAACAAGGTAAGAAACCTTAACAATTGCATATCTTGACAATATGGGACTTGGATATCTTGAATCCCGAAATTTCAGAATTTTGTTACAGGAAAAATGCTCTATCGCATTATACACGAGGAATGATCGTTCTAGCGGGCAAACATGCCCATAGCTTCAAACAGGAAAGTTCTTTTTCTTCTCAGGAAACCACCTTATATATCTCACTTTGTTTACTTGCGCTGAACTTCCAAGGGGGAGTGAGTCTTTCACTCATACATAACAAAGTGTCCAACTCCTGACCCTGATGAAAAGACTTCTTTTACTTTTTTGTCCACTGGAGTGACCTTCGAGTTTCAATCAGAATCGTTACCAAAGGCACAGGATTTCACCACTGATATGAAGCTATTGCACTCTGATATCACTCACCCTCGACAAAGAAACTTTTATGCAACCTTGTCACAGCATTATTTCCAGGCTACATTTTTGTTTGCTGTTCTATATCAACTTAATGATATAGAATAGAAAAAATTAATTAATGAAAATTCAGACAAATTATGTGGA